CTGAACTCTAATAGTTCTGGATACATGTATTTGATAATATGGGCAGATCCGAGAGAAGATAAAGTGAAAAAAAAAAAACGAAAAAAAAAAAAAAAGAAGAAGTCGACCATCCCAGGTTTATTTTGTTCAGGTTTAACTAACGAAAACACATTAGGGGAAGATGTTTAGACTGCAAATTGTGGTGTCGATAAAGTCTCAAACTTCCTGTAACTGACTGAAGTTGTTAAGGTAAAAAATTCTGAAGGGGCATCGCAGAATACCGGAATATATTAGATGTGGACATTCAACAGCTTGGTCTCGGGAAAAGCCCTTTCACTAACTGTGGTATTTTTGGAAAATGGGACCTAAGAAAAGAAAGAAAGAAAGAATGTCCTTTAACTGAAAGCACCAGACGAAAAATGTCAATTATTTCCGCACTCTCAGCTATCAAAAATCACTGTTGAATATAACAAACGAACAGCAAGCAACTATATAAGACCATTCTCCACAGCTCTTCTTCCCGAAGAAAATTAAAACGGCTTCTAAGTTCACAGACTTTCAATAGAAACTTAAGCTTTGGCCTCAATTTTTGTACCAAATATAACACTTTAAGTATGAGCCATCCGATATTACGTAGTTAGGACACTGCGTAATTTATTAAAGCCACTCTTAAAAAGCAAATCTCACCCCGGACAAGGGCGCGGAGAAGATTTTGAAGTGTTTCAGAAAGTCACCTCGTGGAAGGCAAAGGAACTCAAGACTAGCTGGTGTTTTGTTGTTGTTGTTGTTGTTGTTTTCTTTTAATGGTGCCATTCTAAGACTATTTTTAGGAACTCGGGCCTACTTCACTGCCTTTCCCAAATTAGACTTTCATTTTGCTTCTTCCAGGAAAGCAGGAAGCCAATAAACAGGCAAACTCAAGCTAAGGGCGACAGCGACAACGTCGCGAATCTCCACGCCCTCCCAGCTGTAGGGAAGACCGCAGGTTTGCACTCCGGCTCTCTCGGGCAGACACTGACCTTAGGAGTCTGCGAAACGCCCCCGTCCCACGTAACTTTCTCTGAGACATTTTCTGGGAGGCTTGGCTTCTAGCAGAACCTGGATTACCCCGGCTTCCGGAACTCGCGGGCTTCCGGAGCGACGCAGGACCCGGAAGTGTCTGAGAAAAAAAGGGGAAATTAAACCAAGGAGAACTAAGCTTCGGAGCGCGGCGGAAAGCCCGGGACGGCCCAGCAACAGCGAGCGCGGAAGAACCGAAGGGCCGAAGGGCCGAAGAGCCGAAGAGGCGAACAAGACACAGGCGCGCGGTGATTGGTGGGCTGGCCACTCTGAGGAAACCGTATCTGATTGGCAGGACAGTCGCGAACCCGTCAGCCGGTTCCGGGCCGCGCGTGAAGAGGCCGCGGTGTCAAGAGGCCGCGGGGAAGCTGGGGCTCTCTGAGGGCAGGATTTTCTCTGTCCTCGGACAGCGCGGCGTGCCGCCGGACAAGCGCCGCCGAGTGGCAGTGGGGCGCCTCGGCAGCTCCTGGGCTCCTGGCTCGCCCAGGGTGGAGGGCTCACAGCGGGATGGCTTTTTGGGGAGAGGAGCCTTCGGGGGAGGCGGGGGGCAGCTTCGGGGCAGCGGCCTTTTTGCTGCGCGTGCGTGGCGTGGGTGGGTAGCTTGCTGACTTCTGCAGGTTTAGGAAGGAGGGTAGCCTAGTCCAGTTAGCCGTCGGGCTCCACAGCCTTGGCCCGAGAGGCCCCGGACGCGCTCGCACCGTGGGGGAGTGAGCAGCTGGGCGCAGCAGGGCCCGTCAGAATGACCCGGGAACACGTAGAACACGGACAGCCAGATCGCCCACCCCTGGGTAGCTAAGTCTGTATTTCTAGGACTGGAGCCTGAGGGAACGTATTTTTTGAGCGTTCACCAGGCGATTATATGTAGTTCAACTGCCACTGCCTCCTGATTCGGTAGTATGGACAGTAGTGTCTTAGCTGGAGGGTTCGCTCTAAGCTTTGAAGAGAGCTTAGGTAAACTTTTTTGCACGTAGTAGGTCTTAAGAACGTTTTGGGGCACCTGGGTGGCTCAGTGGGTTAAAGCCTCTGCCTTTGGCTCAGGTCATGATCTGACCCTGGGCCCTGGGATGGAGCCCCGCATTGGGCTCTCTGCTCGGTGGGGAGCCTGCTTCCCCTCTCTGTCTTCGCCTGCCTGCATCTCTGCCTACTTATGATCTCTGTCTGTCAAATAAATAAATAAAATTAAAAAAAAAAAAAAAACATTTTAGTTACTGCCTTACCCCGCTCTCTTCTCCCCAGGAGCACAGTCCTACAGCAGCGGGACTGTTACATGTTTCAGAGCGTGTCCTGTAGAAACAGGATTGCAAGACAGCTTTTTAAGTTTTTTTTTTAAATAATTTTTCTGTGGAACAGAGTTCATGTTCTGTTAGCCAGATTATGAAACATTAGGGATAAAAGAACATTTATTAATGAATCATAATACTGTTCAAATTCATTTTTACATCAAAGGTGTACAATTTAGCATACTTCTAGCTGCAATTTTGTTGTCTTCCATCCGTTAAGGAGATCTTGGAAAAAGCAGTCCTAAGAAGGATGATGTTGATGGTTTCCCGAATTAGTAAACAAAACAAAACAAAACTTCCCAGCACGTGAACCAACAGTACAAATGAGACAGACTAGCAGCTACAAGTTAATAGGGTGTGTAGTTCACTTAGGCACGGGAGGGGGGCGGTTTCTAGTGCTGCAGTTGCTTGATAAAGTAGTTGCTAGACACCTGAAATGTGGGTAGGCCAAATGGAGGTCTAAGTAAAATGCACATTGGATTTCTACAGATACATTATGGAAAAGAAAGAATGTGAACTAGTTCATTTTATGTTGATGACATGTTGATATGGGACTGTTTTTGAAAATTTAAAATTACATGGGTGGTTCAGATTACATGTGTTGACTGGTGCTGTTCTGGAGGGTAAGAAAATCTTTTTGAAGAAGACCATGGCTTTCACTTGGTAATTGTGAAAGAAGGCAGCCATGTTGTACTTTTCAGATAGGCCAGCAGATACACTTGCTTTATTTAATTTTTATGGAAGTGGGAGAACACCCCAAAAAGAGTAATACAGAGGACATTTTCAGAAAGCAAGTTCTAATTCATGGAACCTTATGTATGTCACATAAACATCACAATAGTTGTTAATAATAATAAATGTACTAAGCTAGCAAGATATTTGACTTACGTTTAATGAATCTGATTAAAAATGTAAAACATGTAGAGCATTCAAGATTTTGGTTGAAAATGTTTAAAATAAGCTCCAACTTTTATCATTTAATGTCTTGATATAGTATACCTCTTTAGTTTTCCAGTGAGCTAGTAAACTGAAATTTCAGGGTAGCCTTACTTCTAATTTTCTATACTTAATTTAAAAATACATTTGTTTTTCATTCCTTTATTTAACAGAAGCCTGCTGGGGCCCAGGAGTATTGCTAAGCAGTGTTGATATTAAGGTGAACACCCAGGCATGGCCCTTACTCTTTTGGAGCTAATGAGTACCAATTCAGAGACAGTGAAAAAGTAGATAACCATGGCATAGTGTATTTGGCCTTTGAGTGTTTTACCTCTGTAAATGCAACATGTTAACTGTTTAAACCTAGAATTTATAAATTCCTGTCAATGTGTTAATGAAGAGTCTTATTAGGACTTGGCTTTGGGCTTAAAATATATTAATAAAAAATCAAAGTATAATTAATTCATCCATTAATTATGAGAACTTAAAAAATAGAGTATTTCTTTAACTATAAAGGAAAAGATGAAAAGAATTGTAATAGCATCTTATTTATGATACTTTCTTCTAGCCTTTCAGCAATTTTTAGGTTCTAAGGAATTTAATAATAGAAATGTAAAGGAGACATTGATTTATGCCCCTAACATAGTTTAAAATTGCTGACTTTAAAAAGTTAAATCCATTTTAGCATATTACATAGTTCTTAAATCATTATATTTGAGTCTTTTAGAAAAAAGTTAAACATAGATCTTATGTTAGTTTACTACTGTTGCTGTAACAAATTACCACAGAGTTAGCAGCTCAAAACAACACCAGTTCTGTAGTCAGAAGTCCAACTCTGATCTCACTGGGCCAAAATCAAGGCGTCCATAGGTCTGTGTTTCTTTCTACAGGGCATAGGGAAGAATTCGTTTTTTTTTTTTGTTTTTTTTTGTTTGTTTGTTTATTCAGGTTGATGGCATTCAGTTCCTTACTGTGGTAGTATTGGTTCCATGTCAGCTCATCAGCTGAGGGCATGTTCCCAACTTCTACAAGCCATCTATATTCCTTGGGTGTTGGCCCTCTCTCTTCCTCTTCAAAGCCAGCACAGATGGATTGAGAGCCTTTCATGATTTCTCTTACCTTCTCTTCAGTTGTTTTCTCTCTAATTTCAATCTTTTAAGAATCTAATTAGAATGGGCCTGCCTAGGTAGTCATGGATAATCTCTCCATCTCAGGGTCCATAACCTTACCCATGTCTGCCATGTTCTTTTTGCCATGGTAAGGTAACATATTTACAGGTTCCAGAGATAAGGGCATGGGCATTTTTAGGGGCCATTATTCTGTCTACTGCAGATCCTAATTGGGGCCATGTGGTATATATAGCATTTCTTACCAGTATTCTCGGTACTTTAGGATAGAATAATGTTAATAATAACAGGTAAATTTTATTGGATGTGTAATATGTTCTAGGCACTACTCTAAACTCTTTTTCTGCATTTATTCATTTAGTCATCAGAAATGCCCTAGAAGACAAGCACTAATATCATCCGCATTTATAGATAAGAAAACAGTTGCAGAGTGGGGAAGTCTCTTACCTAACTTCTCATGGCTATTAAGTGATGAAATGAGGATTTGAGCCTACACAGTCTGGTTCCAGAGCCTCTGTGTGCTCTGAACCACAACATTGTAAAAATTACTTCTGAACATCTGTATTTACTAAACATGGTTAGTGATAGAGTGATGGGTTTAGGATTTGGTGTCACAATATCTGGCTTCCAATTCTACCTTCACCAGTTACTGGATGACCCTGAACAAGTTACTCAATCTCTGTGGGTCTCATTTAACAATAAACTGAATTAATAATAACATTTGAATATTAAATGAGGCCTTGTATGTACAATACTTAGAACAGTGTCTTAACAAATAAGCTATTGCTAGCTATAATTATTGGTGACAATTCAACATTTAAAAACAGTAGTTAATTGTAAAAAAGAAATGTTTCCTTTAGGTAGTTTCAGTCTCTTCATAAAGTAAGATTTTAAAAAATAAAATTAAAAATAATTTTTTAATTGAATTTTTTTCTTTTGATATACCACAATGCTATCTTCTTTCTCAGGCACTGATTTCTCCCCACTCCAGTATAACTTCCATCTTTTTAGTACTGATATTTTCTAGTGTTATATGACTGTACACTGTTAAGCATTTCGTCCAGATTCTACTTGCCCGGTTAATGTCCAAATGACATAGAAGGGTAGCAGGACACAAAATCCAAATACTCCCTCTCACCATCTGTCAGCCTAGTGTTTACACAGCCATCATTGCTAACTTGTCACTGTTCTTTTGCTTTTATTCCTTGAGGGAGGCCCATGGCGTATCCTGGGCCCCTGGCCACAATGCCACCTAATACCACTCTAAATCCCACCCTCTCTTCTCATAATCTCTGCTGCCATTGCCTTATTTCAAGCTCTCATCATCTCTGCACTTTAAATCATTTCCTGACAAATCCATGGCCTCCAGCCTTACCTCCCTTCAGTTTTAATCTCTTCCCTGCTCACCAGAGTGATCTTTCTAAAGTACTACACTCATGTTATTCTGTTACTCTCTTTCTTTAAACCCTTCAGTGTCTGCCCCACACCCCAATTCCTACAAACATTATTCCTTTAGAGTCTCTAAATACCAGTTAGGTGCTTCTACTGTAGCATTTAAAGTATCACAATTATTTGTTTAAGCACTAGTCTTTCCTTCTAAATCATGAACTCAATGATAGGGATTAAGAGATGGTTTTGGGGGAGCCTGAGTAGCTCAGTAGGTTGGGCGTGTGACTCTTGGCTTCGGCTCAGGTCATGATCTCAGGGTCCTGAGATTGAGCCCTGTGTGGGGCTCCACATTCAGTGCAGAGTCTGCTTGTCTCCCTCCCCCTTTGCTCCCCACCATGCTCCTAAAAAAGAGATGGTTTTTGCCTGAATGAATTTA